AAAAAAAAAAAAGAATCAGATGCTCAACCAACTGAGCCACCCAGGTGTCCCCAAAGATAATTTGCTGTAAGGGATGCCTGACTCTTTTTCCCTGAACATTTAAATTTGAAGACTTAGTTCAAACAGAATAGTGTGATTTAGGAATACCACAGCAGGGTCACCAGTTTTTAAAACAGTAAAACATAATGCTTCCTGGATGATTGGAAGCCATTTTAGAATCTTGCAGGACCTTCAGGTCATTTGCATTAGTTATCAATTCGTATAAAAGTTGTACATGAGGGGCGCCTGGGTGGCGCAGTCGGTTAAGCGTCCGGCTTCAGCCAGGTCACGATCTCGCGGTCTGTGAGTTCGAGCCCCGCGTCAGGCTCTGGGCTGATGGCTCAGAGCCTGGAGCCTGTTTCCGATTCTGTGTCTCCCTCTCTCTCTGCCCCTCCCCCGTTCGTGCTCTGTCTCTCTCTGTCCCAAAAATAAATAAAAACGTTGAAAAAAAATTAAAAAAAAAAAAAGTTGTACATGAAAGGTTTAGGGCATTGAACTAAATTTACTCTGATGTACTTAGAAACAACAAAAACAAAAAACCTTGTATCTCATTTACTTTAATATTCCATTTATGTGCTCATAAAAACAGTGTAGAATATAGGGGAGGTTTTTTAAATGGTTTTGCTTTCTGACTCATTCTTGAAAACATTTTAGTTCTTTATTATCTGACTTTTTTCAAAAATTTTTAAAGATTTTACTTTCAAGTAATCTCTCCACCCAGCATGGGGCTAGAACCCCCAACCCCGAGATCAAGAGTCACACTCCACCAACTGAGTCAACCAGGCACCCCTATTATCTGACATTTTAGACTTCCTAGTAATCTTTTCTGAACAAAAAAAGGTATGGGGGATTTCTGAACACTTGAAAAATTATGTATTCATAATGATCATGATGCAAGTAAATCTTGCATTTTAGTGTTTCTTACTTTACATAGATGACAGGATAGAGGACATCTTTTCCAAAAGAGTTTTTAAGACAGTCTTCTGAAGAGAATTGAAGTCTTCTGCCAGTGAACTAGTACTATAGAACAGAAATTTTACGTAATTTTACATACATTTATCAACAGCCTAGGTATTTGTTAATCTTGGCCTGAAAGCCCATGTTCATGGTAAGACATAAATTCGAAGAATTATTTACTGGTTTTTTTTGCATCAATGTGCTACCTTCCATCTTAGGTCTATCATTTAGCAAGTGTACGATTACGAGATTTATGTTTAAAACTGGATGTTTCAAATGAGTTACGAAGGAAGATATGGACATGTTTTGAATTCACTTTAGTTCATTGCCCTGATCTAATGAAAGACCGACATTTGGATCAGCTGCTTCTTTGTGCCTTTTACATCATGGCAAAGGTAATGTATAAGTTGGGGGAAGCTCTTTGCCCTAGTTACCCATTTTTGAAGCACAAAGTGAAAATCTTTTGCACTTAATTGTTAGTTTGTTCAAATGCCCACTATTGTTAAGTAGTAAATTCCAGCTACTGCATCTATTCTCTGGACTCTCCATTTCATTTTGTAATAATCAGCTTTCCCACATCATAAGAATACATTGGTTGTAAAGAAATTGGAAAAGGTCTTAAAAACCATTTGTATAAATGGTTCTCCATACTGTTAATGTGAACATCATTTTTACCGCCATCGCTGTGACCCCTCTCATCTAATACTTTACAATAAAATGATCATTATGTTGTAGGTTAGTAATTGAGGCCCAGAGCTGAAAGTAACTTGGTCAGTTATACAATTAACAAATGGCACCCTAGGATTTCTTATTTCATAATTTAATGAACTCATACTTCATAAAATAGCTTCTCTAATATACTGCTTTCCAGTGATTTTTTGCACCACCTCAGAAAAGCATTTTACTTTCTAGGTGCTACAACATGCTTTCATTCATAAAATAGTATATCTTACTTGCTTTTTAAAATTCTGATATACCTGAAACAATCATCTATAACTTTGGTCTGAACCATATTGACCGCACTGGCAGTACTCGCAGATGTACATAGTTAAGACCTAATTCTTAAGCTTTTTGAGGCAGAGGACATGTTTTCAAACTCCTTTTGACTCCTCTCTCACAATGCCTTTAAGATCTCTATACAAAATAGAGATTAATAAATGTTATTACCTAATATTTTGTGTTTTCCATGGAACTCTCAGAGTGCAGGCTTTGCCATTTTTAGCTCATCATTATGGAAGAACAGGTTTAGTGCTAACGGACAGTAAAGCAGAGAGAAGGAGTAATTTAAGTAAATTTTATAATAATAAATAGACTGGAAGGGATACTGTTATGGATCACCAATTCATTTCCTTCCTTTCCTTCCTTCCACCATAACTTTTCTGTCTAAGTATTAGAAACCATATAGTCTGTCCTAAAATATTAAAAACCTAATCCTGTAATAATTGTTCAGTTTTCTTGTGAATCACCATAAGACATTTTTTATCCTTTAGTAAGTGGCTACTTTACTTTTAAGAGGGTACTTTAAAAGTCAGTAAAATCAGAGACTGCAGGGGATGCAGCAGATCGGAGTTTTCTGGTATCATTCTTTTTATAAAAAGAAATGTATTTTCAGTAAAGTTATACCATAGCAATCTCAGTGCTTTTGATTAATGAAGCTATTAGCTGAGTCCCCACAGGCCACAAAGCTTGAACTTTAAAGGTAGTAAAAATCATAAATGGTAGTGGTTTTTAGTCATGGACTGGCCTGGGGTTAATGACTTTCTGCAGGACTGCTCTCACTGCCAACCTATAATTGAAGCTTTTGTTCAGAGCCATTTTTCTTTTAAGAGCAACTGATAAATGCAGAATTTACTTTTCCTTAGGTAACAAAAGAAGAAAGAACTTTTCAAGAAATAATGAAAAGTTATAGGAATCAGCCCCAGGCAAACAGTCATGTGAGTAACATTTTTCCTCCCATCCAAAAATAGATTTGTACTAGTTCTCTGTTGACAAGTCATAGAAAAGGTAAACTTCTTTTATAGTTTTACTGTACTTTAGATTTTTTTGGTTTAGTGGATATCATTAAACTCTAAAGAAAATTTCAGTAAAAGCCAGGAAATTGGCTGTTTATATACTCATCGATATATTTGCATATATTTGTCATGTGTTTTCCTATTCCATTTATTTGTTCATTTGTTGAGTGGGGACATTTTTCACAAAAAAATCTAATGAAGGGAAGTGCCTGGGTGGCTCAATCTATAGAGCATAAGATTCTTGATCTCAGGGTGGTGAATTTCAAGCCCCACGTAATATATGGAGCCTACTTTAATAAAAAATCTAGGGTTGCCTGGATGGCTCAGTTGGTTGAGTGTCCAATTGTTGATATCACCTCAGGTCACGATCCCAGGGTTGTGGGAGCCCCGCATCTGGCTTTGCACTGACAGTGCAGAGCCTGCTTCGGATTTTCTCTCTCTGCCTTTTTCTCTTTCTTACCCTCTGCCCATTCCCCACTTGCACATGCACTCTCTCTCTCAAAATAAGTAAACTTTAAAATAAATAATCTAATGAAAATCATCTATAATAATGCCTGGCTGGCTCAGAAGAGCACGTGACTCTTGATCTCAGGGGTCATGAGTTTGAGTCCCATGTTGGGTGTAGAGATTACCAAAAAAATAAATTTAAATAATAATAATAATATTCTCTAATTGTGTGGGACTTGATTCTCTAATGATGTTTAAAATCCCGTGAAATTTGAGGATTTATTAGCTCAAGTCTAGCTTCATTCGCCACCTACTAAGAATCTTAATGTTTGAATCTTTAAATAGATACCAAGCATATTTGATAATGTCATTTTATAATAACCATGGTAAAAATCCTATAAAACCTTTCAGTCATGGAAATATAAAATGCTAGCCTAGTGGCCGGACACATAGTAAGTATTTAATGACTATTAGTTCCATATTGTTATTATTACAGCTGAAGAACATAAAGTTGGGCTACCTTAAGGTTTTGACCACTCAGGAGCTTAGTTGCTGAGCTCTAGGGAGCATAATGACCTCTTTTTGAGCCTTGGTGATCTGCCATCTTAGGAAGAGAGATGTGATGTGATGTAGCTACTCAGATATCCCATGCTTAAGTACTGGTAGTCACACCCCCTTCTAAGAGAGCCCCACATAGAGTTTCACTTCTTTAAGCTCTAAAATACATGGAAGAGCCAAGTACAAGCATTTGTTATATCCTTTGATAGGCTAAGAGTGTCTGGACCTCTTCAGAAAAATCCTTCAGGAACAGATTCTAGAAAGGTCCAGATTATCCCTAAAGATCATTAAGGTGAAGTTAGTGTGGGTCCAAAGTGGACCGAGCCATAGCTTCCTAAATATCCTCTCATACCTACCACCCATAGGATGAGGGGAAATGGATTATGCCTTTCAGCTGTCTTGGAGGTAGGAAAGAATTTAGAAGAAGGAAGGGAAACATTTTCATGTGACCATCTGAAAGGAGATGGGAATGGGACGGGAGTAGGAAAACAAGCCTTAATGAGATCAAATGATTCTTATGCAAGGAATTAAAAGGAAGAACAAGCTCAGATATTTGAAATTGCTTTTATTTGGCAAAACCTCATCAGTGTTTAGTTTTTGTAAACTACAGTGGCAGTATTAGGTGGTAGGCTCTGTTTCCATATCCCCCCTACTAAGATGGTTGCTATAATCTATATTTACCAGCCTAGTAACATTTTGCCCTCGATTATCACCATTACAGACAAATACCTTTTAACTGGCATGATATTCTGTTCTTATTTTGGTTTTGCTTAAACTGTGCATCTTTATGACTTAGCAGTCTTTTTCCACTCTAACCTGTAGGTCTATAGAAGTGTACTGTTGAAAAGTATTCCAAAAGAAGTTGTGGCATACAATAAAAACATAAATGGTGATTTTGAAATGACAGATTATGGTAAGTTGCCCAATTTAATATTCTATATGTAATATACCTTTGATTACATTGTACGTAATGCAGTGGATGTCAGGCGGCATGGAGTTAGTGATGTAAGCGGAATGGATAATGCATATGTGAAAGCATTTGGGAAGAAACAAGTTTGAGATAAGTATGAGTCAGATGCCTCCATCCAAAGAGGTTGTGAATTGAAACCATTTTTCCCCTATTAATTGTGCTTTAGAAGAAGTTTTGTGGGGCGCACGAGTGGCTCAGTCGGTTGAGTGTCCGGCTTTGGCTCAGGTCATGATCTCACCGTTCTTGAGTTCGAGCCCCGCGTCGGGCTCTGTGCTGACAGCTCAGAGCCTGGAGCCTGCTTCAGATTCTGCGTCCCCCTCTCTCTCCGCCCCACCCCTACTTGTGCTCTGTCTCTCTCTGTCTTTCAAAAATGAATAAACATTAAAAAAATTTTTTTGTTCTAAAAAAGTTTTGTAGAATACTTACAACATTAATAAAACACATAAAAGGCTCTTAATAAATTTTAAAAATAAATCTGAATTACAGGGGAAGTAAGGTAGCTGTCAGTGATCTGCCTGGGGTGACAATTAAGGAAATGTCTTGTTCATTAATAATTATATAAGTATTCTTCCACCACCAACAAAGCTGCCATCCTGTTGTTAACCATCATGATATGTAAGACTTGAGGCACTAGGAAATTTTTTTCAAAGAAAGGAAAATCAATTATTCATATTGTCAAGGTAATTATTCCTATGTTGATAAGCTGTAAAAATGCTTCTTCTGCCCATCTTTTCCTTGTCTCATCTTCCCATTACTTAATGTGTACATGTGTAACACATGTACTGTGATGTATTCTACAGTGTGGGACATTTAGATTATTAACCATTATACATAGCTTTGTGAGGAACATCACTATAGCTTAATCTTTGATCCATATCCTTAGGATAAATTCTTAGAGAAAATTGCCAGAGTCAAGGACTCTTTTTTTAATCACGTAGATATCCGTGATCATTATGGTGTTTTTTGGGATCTGAACTTTTAAGATCTTACTCACCAAAAATATTTTTAATAACAATGCCCTAGAATCTGCCCTATTTAAGGATACATAAGCCAAGCTCAATTCTTTTTACATAGATATATTATTCCCGAGCCTTTTCAAGGCAATGGAAGTGTATCAGACAGTAAAACTGAAAAAATGCATATATATTATATATACGTACATATACATCAACTACAAACGTGTGTATAAAATACACACACACACACACACACAGCCTTTCTATTTTTGTAACACATGTTGCTCATCTGTCCCAGGTAGTTTTTCTGTCCATACAAAACCAGGCATGTGGGGTGGGGGTAGAGACAAACAGGCACCAGAGGTTAGCTGGAAAGTAATGTTCTCATGAGAAACAAAGTAACTACTAGCAAGTATCTGGCATACAAGGAGCAGTGAAGTTCAATAGATACAGTATCTGCAAATGAAATTTGAGGTCAATGAAGGTTAGCTACTCTCTACAACCTAAAGGTTTCAAATCAACTTCTGTTGTATATACATTTATTAACTAGATATTTATTAGCAAGCAAACAACCATTTTTAAGATTTTATCCAATGGTGATGGCACAGAGCTGCACAAGTATCCAGTGATAATGGACTCAGGAATTCTGGCACCAAAAAGGAAAAAGTTACAGTGGAGGATACAGTCAGGCAAGTTTATGTTCAGATAAGGTATGTTAAAGTTTCTCCAGCTATGTTTGGTTGCTATGACTTAAACATAACAAAGAACACCACATAGTGAAGAACAATTCTGGTTCTATAAAATTCTTAATTAGGTATAAAATGATTACTATTTAGAAAGCACACATAGTTTATGCATCTTATATAGGTTGTCCAAACACCCAGCTGTCCAACCACCACCTCACACATTAAAGGTTCACTTGAAGCAGGTGCCAAGATTCCAGATTCAGGACTCTGTTAGCCTTAAAGCCAGGATCAAGCAAATGACATGCATCAGAGTTCAGGGCTGGTCTTCATTATCATCCATAATAGTAGAGCTCCACACACTTCAGTGAATCACTCATCTGTATCATGATATTGTGGACAGTGTCTCAAATATGTTAACCAGTCTATTTAAGTACTTCTAATTTCCCCAACATGCACCAACTTTAAGCATTAGGCTTTCATAACAGTCACTATTTTCATCAATAAAAACCAGATTCTTAAATTTTTAAATTGCTTTTTAATGTTTGTTTATTTTTGAGAAAGAGAGAGA